GAAATATATTTTTAGAAAAAAAAGGAAAACAACATTTTAATATTTAAGAATTTAAAACATAATAAAAATGAAGGGATTTAGAAGACAAAAAAGACCAAACTATTGAGCTGGAACAAAGATGGGAGATCCTTGACAATAATCTGGCATGGCAGGAAAAAAAAAACACCCAGTTGCCATGAACACTGATTCAGGTGTGCCAGTCAGAAACTCAACCAGGTGTGAAACATTACCAAGAAACAAAACTGACTCAAGTGAACAAGAAAAAAACAAAAATAGAACAAGAGGTCAAGAAAATGTTTACAAGTCAAAGACTTTTCAAAGAAAATGGGTGGAAGGAACCCAGGGCTGGAAAAGATTAACRGCAAATGACTGTGGATTTATATATAAAAAATACAAAATGTTATGTCAGGTGGCAGGAAACATTTTATATTTGTTAATGAAAGGGGTATTATAAAGACTTGCAAATATGGGCATTCCATATTCTACTGCCTGAGCTATGATTTTACTTTACTGTTAAACTTATCAGTTGGTTTGTTTTATGCCCAGATGAGGGCAATGACCTGCAACCATTTGAAAATGTATCTAGAAACAYTGCAAAATAGAAAACACAATACAATGTTTTATGGAAAATAATCTTTATTTTTCTAGATAAAATAAAATAAAAAAAGATTAGACGTTTTTATTTTTCTAATATTAGGATTAATTGATGATGGTAAAATAAGAACTGGTCATCTAAAAACAATGCAATAAAGCTTCCAAACTGCAGCAAAATGGATGTTGTCTTTCCCTTTTTTTTTAAATTATTCGCACTAGTCTACTAGTTTGAATTTCAAAATTCTTTCTGTTTTGTCTTTACCTCCATATTTTAATCCTGTCAAACTCAGACTCTCCTGAAATGGATTAAATATGTGGCAGCAGATGATGTGGCCTTTGTCAAAAGACTGGTGTACAGTCTGACCGGTTCTTCACCCTCAGGAGCCACCAACACTAGAAGATCTCAGCGAAGCGTAGATGCACAACCACAAAACCCTGAGGAGGAGCTGTAAGTATAAGACCATATCATGTGCTGTTACTGTTGTGAAGGCAGTTCATTAAATTGTTTTATTCTTTAAATGAAAAACAAGTTAGATAGTAAATAATGGGCTTCTCACATCACACATGATTTCGGGTGATACCTTTTTGTGTGTTTTTAGGTCAATGGCAAAAAAAAGTTTTCATTTTTGAATTCATGCTATCAGTCAGATTATAACTCTTTGAAATTTTAGAATATACTGTTCCCTCTATTTTTAAATTATGTTTCAATCTTTACTATCAGCTAACATGAAAGATGAACATGTTTAGAACTAATATGTGTTTTCTCACTTTTCACTGGAGATGTATTTAAAAAAATCTTAAGTAAATCAGGCCTATGTTTTTTTCTGATTTGTTAACATATTGATACGTTTTTCTGTTTTAAAGTAAGTAATGAGTGTTTTTTTTTCCAGATTTCTGGGTTTTGGTGAAGTGTTTGTAGAGATCGCAAACATTGATCCTGAGTTTAATTTGGTTGTTGAGATGGCACTCGGTACTGTGTTTCAGTCCATGAGGGCAGCTACGGTGACTTTATCCACTGTGGAAGGTAAACTTAAAATCTCCACCTGTGCTTATATCAAAGACTCRTTTTTTGGGGATTTTTTTCAGTTCTGGAAAATAAAATAAAGGTTTATGGTGCTGCAAAGACAATAGTAGTTAATTTAAAACTTTCAAACATTTTGACAAAAGCAAAAGAGTATTAAATAACATAAAAACCCAATGTTTTAAAAACAATTTTGCTTTTTTCTTGTGCACTTTTTTTGACATTCACTATTGTAATCTTGACATAGATTAGAAATTCTATACTGTGCAACCAAAAGATGAATGAAACAAGTTTACACCCGTTCTCTGCAGAACAATGATAAACAGAAAATGCAAATCTAAAAGGGTATTATAGGTCTAAATGTCATGCACGGAAAGAAAAAAAAAATAAAAACTTGCTGTAAGTTTAGGACTTAACAAGACTTGAGTGCCATGTGCATTTCACACACACACGCACAAATGTTTTTCTTTTCTTTTTTAAGACRAAGTCTTCTCACAGAGTATTGATCCAAGTGACCTGCATTTGTCAGTACATTGTGTCTTTACCACTTCCATTTACAGAAGTCATTGGGAATGCCCTGGAAGATGCGGCTAATTTCCAGCAGATGATTCATAATCTAACAAACCAGTCTGAGGCCAGCGCTTGGATCAGCCACATCCTGGGAAATGTGACAGAGATAATTATGAAGGTATTCTAATGGCTTTTTAATTTTACCCATGACTTCAAAGATTTTACTTCAAGTTCATTATATTTTTTATAAATTATTACTTATGATATATGTAAACTTTAGTTTTATATACTTTCAGTCAGACTCAAAAATAACTTTTTCAGTACAAGGAAGAAGTAGTGCTGCACTCAAAGTAATAAAAATAACATTACAATAAAAAAGGGGGGCTTATATGAATTTATGTAATGTAAGATGACATCATTTTTTGTTTATACTGTAAAAGAGATTGAAATAATCACCAGGTTATTATTAATATATATTTTTGCATCTGTTTTACTAGACGCAGGGATCAGATTATCATTCATGTGAAGAACTTCTTCAACCTATTGAGTGGCTCCTGTCCATCAAGAGCATAAATATAGAAGTGTGGAGATCACTATTCTGCAGCAATAACACAAATCTGACAGAAGATTTGCTAGCAGACTGGATGCCTGTGATTCAACAGGTAAAAATGCTTTTTTTTAAACAATGAACTATTACTTAATGTCTCGCATTATGTAAGAAATAAACTGTCAGTCTGTCTTTGCTATATATATGTCTTTAATTTTTTAGTACTGTACTGTTGGCCATCCTATTGCTAGGTAAATTGTTTTACATTAAAGTCTTTAGGCCAGTGTTATAAACATAACTTAGATGCCACCCATTTTCTAAATCCTTTTCAAATTTCATGTTTTCTTCAGATGCAAGAAGTGTCCAGCATTTTTACAAGCCAAGCAGAGCTCAATGTAACACTTCCCATGATTCTCTCTGAGTGGCACAACTTTTACAACACCAGCCTGGAGTTTCTGAAATTTTGGGACACAAGACTGGTTGGAGAGGACTGGATGAATTGGATTCCTGAGACAAATGCCGATCATGTTACTGGAATTCTTCAACAAAGGTTTTGGCATTGAGTTGACAATACTTTATTCACATAGTTAATTTCTTAGTGCTACAATCTGCTAAAAATAAACACAGACAATAAAAATAATTATTCAATACAGTTTTAAAGGAAAAAAGCTTCAGAAAAACTAAATAAAGATCAATATGAGAGTCTGATTTTATATGGACTATTATAAATGAAATGTGCAAAATGTTTGTTCTTTTTCAAATAAGGTGTCATAGAGTATTTTCACTGCTTCAGTAGTGTTATGTTTCTGCTTTGTTTACAGCCTCATCATGTCTGTTGAAGGGTTTGGAAAAGCTCTTGAGGAGAATGAGCTTTGGCCTGCGATGAAGGACTACTTCCACATCGTTTACTGGGTTTTAAACTACAGGCCTGGTGTCACAACAGAGCCACCAAACTGTGAGTCTTTTTTTGTTTTGTTTGCATTTCTTTTAGTTTACTCTTTGCAAAGAAAAAAATGAGAATTGTTCTAAGGGATGCACAATATATGCAATTATACTCACAGGATAGCCTCCTCTGGGGTCTTTCTGGGTGGATTTAGCATTTTCTCCTAGTGGTAGTCCAATTTTCTCACACAGACCAAAAACATGCATTTTAGGTTCATTGGTAACTCTAAATTTTTCTCTAGGTGTGAAATCCTCCTCATAATCATCATCATATTTGAAATACTACACAATAATATCCCAATTGCATTTTTTTAAATAAAAATTTGCTGCACTAATTATTTACAATAAAAGTATGTGTCTTCCTACCAGCATGATGATACCAGTAAAATAAGATAGTTGCGAATAAATGTTTCTGTGTGTTTGTAGGTTATGTCAGCATGGACTCTTTTGCCCTTCATTGTAATACTAGCTTCAACTGGCCACAGTTTGTCACAGCCATGACCGATTCTCTGATGTCACCAGACCCAGATGCCTCATTAAAGTACGTGACAAAGACTGTTTTCGTTTTCTTGTGAAAATGATTCATGGAATTTTTGTGCTTGGGGACTTTTTTATTTACCTTTATCTGTTGATTTTACATGGGCTCATTAAAATAGCTTACACAATTTGTTTTTAGCACTCTTTCCTTTTCTTGTAATATATTGTGATTGGCACCTGGGTGACAGAGTTATGCATAAAGATGTGAACAAATGAGATAAACAAAAAGCACACACTTTTGGCCAATGGATTTTGCCATCTCTGATAGTTACGAGAATATTCTCAAGTATGCGTTATTGCTTTTACTCTCATACTTAATACAATTGACTTATGTTCTATTTTTGTCTTCACTCCCTAGTTGTCTCAAAGGAACRGTGATGCTATTGCAGCACGTGTACGAAGACACCTACACAAATCTGGCAGCCTCATATTTACAAGAAATTCAAGGAGGAGATTCTCTCTCTGCCTACCTCAACAAGCTGCTGGTTAACTTGAATGACAATGTTCAGACAGTCACTGGTCTTCCAAACCAAAACCTCACAAACCCTGCTCTCATCACTGGCTTGTTGGAGTCCACAGGTCTGAAACCACTCCTACCTCTTTTCTTCAGCGACAGACCCCTTAATATCTCCACTTTGCTTGAAATAGCTTCGTCATTAGGCAGGCTCAACCAAAACATCTTTACTTTCAATGAGACAGACCCATCACTTCCTGAACTGGAGCAGCTGATTTTGAAGTTCTTCTCACTGGAGGGTAACCTGACAGTTCCTCTCTCTAACATCATGGGATACAGCTTGCTGACCTATTCGGCCTACTTCAGTCCTGAATTTGTGGCTAGTGTTAAAGAAGCAATTCAACCCTTCACCAATCAGACCTCAGCTGGCTTTGTAGAAGCTATCCTCAGCGCCACTGAACTTCTGAAGACACTGACTGATTCTCCAAATGCTGACCCAACTAGCATCATTCTTGGGTACTTGCGCCAGCTTCAAGAGTTTATGATTTCTGCTTTTAGACTGCAAACAATAGAATATCCAAATGGGCAGCTGAATACAACCCAAATCACTGATCTCCACATGGTTCTGATGGACTTTCTCAGCCTTCTAACCCCTGAGAGTCTTCAGGCACTAACTCAGGCTGGACCTGATGCTGCCCAGGACATTGTCATTCAGAGGTTTGTAGCACTACTACCATCCAGTGTACAAAAAGATGCTTCCCGCTTTCTGGAGGACTTCAAAATTCTGCAAAATCAAGTGACTAATTGTAGTGGAGAAACAGGACAAAACTGTCTGCAGGGAATTTCAGAAATCCCTACAATTCTTTCTCAAATTGTAGAAATGATGCTTGCAACCAATGGTGGGGTCAGTATTCAAATAGCTGCAACTAATCCTGCTGCCTGGAGCAAGAGCTATGAAGTACTGACCAACTTTTTCACACTCCTGTCACCAGATGATGCTGCCTATGTAGAAACAATCAAACAGGCTTTTGATTTCCTCAGAATTGTAATGAATTCAGGAGACATTACAGAGTCCAGTGTTGAGAATGCTTTGATGCAGTCAAATCTAAGCATTTACCAGCTGGATAAAATTGTTGCTCTAATTGGAGCGGCCAACATGAATGATCTGACTGAAAAGGTGATGGGGTTTGTTGATGCAAAGGAGTGTTTTAAACCTCATAATACCATGATGGAAACAAGACACTGTGTCATGGAACTGATGAATGACATCAGCAACATTTTAACCCAAATTCCTGCTCTCCGTAATGAGACTGCTGTCCTGTCTATGATCTCAATGATTGCCAATAAAACTACCAGTGAAGTCATCCAAATAAACTTCAGTTCCAGTCCTGAAATGGTTGTTGAACAAATTTTGAATATCAGCTTAGCCAATATTAAGGTGGGCCTTCAGTTGAACCAGCTGGATACTTCTGAGATCATGAATGAAATCACAATAGTGGAGCAACTAATATGGCTGGCCACCAACATGGAACCATTTGACACACTGAATTTGACCTTGGCCAATGATCCAGTAAAGGCCCAAAATATTTCACTGGAACTTGTGGAGTGGTACTTACAAAGGCTGGAAAAACTCATCTCCCTTTCACACCTCCTGTCACCAGATGATGTTGCTTATGTAGAAACAATCAAACAGGCTTTTCAGTTCATCAGATTAGTGATGAATTCAGCGGATATTACAGGGTCCAGTGTTGAGAGTGCTCTGATGCATTCAAATCTAACCATTTACCAGCTGGATAAAATCGTTGCTCTAATTGGAGCTGCCAACCTGAATGATCTGATGGCAAAACTGATGAGGACTGTCGATGCAAAAGAGTGTTTTAAACCTCAGAATACCATGGTGGAAACAAATCATTGTGTCATGGATCTCGCAAATGAAATTGATGGCTTGTTGACCCAACTTCCAGCTCTCCATAATGACACAGCTGTCCTGTCACTGATCACAATGATTGTCAATGAAACTACTAGTGAAGTCATAAAGACAAACTTCAGTTCCAGTCCTAATGTGATTGTTTCACAAATTTTGAAAATCATCTTAGCCAATATCAAGAAGGGCCTCCAGCTAAACCAACTGAACACTTCAGAGACTATGAATGAAATCTCAATGATGGAGCAACTAATATGGCTAGCCACCATCATGGAACCATTTGACACATTTAATACCACCTTGGTCAATGATCCAGTAAAGGCCCAAAATAWTTCACTGGAAATTGTGGAGTGGTACTTAGAAAGGCTGGAAAAAATCATCTCCTTTTCACACCTTCTGTCACCAGATGATGTTGCCTATGTAGAAACAATAAAACAGGCTTTTCAGTTCCTCAGATTAGTGATGAATGCAGCGGATATTACAGGGTCCAGTGTTGAGAGTGCTCTGATGCATTCAAATCTAAGCATTTACCAGCTGGATAAAATTGTTGCTCTAGTTGGAGCTGCCAACCTGAATGATCTGATGGCAAAACTGATGAGGATTGTCGATGCAAAAGAGTGTTTTAAACCTCAGAATACCATGGTGGAAACAAATCATTGTATCATGGAACTCACAAATGAAATTGATGGCTTGCTGACCCAACTTCCAACTCTCCATAATGACACAGCTGCCCTGTCTCTGATCACAATGATTGTTAATGATACTACTAGTGAAGTCATAAAGACAAACTTCAGTTCCAGTCCTAATGTAATTGTTACACAAGTTTTGAATACCATTTTAGCCAATATCAAGAAGGGCCTCCAGCTAAACCAACTGAACACTTCAGAGACTATGAATGAAATCTCAATGATGGAGCAACTAATATGGCTTGCCACCATCATGGAACCATTTGACACATTTAATACCACCTTGGTCAATGATCCAGTAAATGTCTTAAAGGTTTCTCTGGAGTCTGTGGAGCGTTACTTGGAAAGGCTGGAAAAGATCACCTTCTTCTCACTACTCCTGTCACCAGATGCTGCTTCCTATCTAGAAACAATCAAACAGGCTCTTGATTTCCTCAGATTAGTGATGAATTCAACAGACATTACAGGGTCCAGTGTTGAGAGTGCTCTGATTCATTCAAATCTAAGCATTTACCAGCTGGATAAAATTGTTACTCTAGTTGGAGCTGCCAACATGAATGATCTGATTGGAAAGGTGATGGGGTTTGTTGATGCAAAGGAATGTTTTAAACACCAGAATACCATGATGGAAAGAAGTCACTGTGTCGGTGGACTGATGGATGAGATCAGTGGCTTTTTGACCCAACTTCCAGCTCTCTGTAATGAGACTGCTGCACTGTCTCTGATCTCAATGATTGCCAATAAAACTACCAATGATATTATCCAGATAAACTTCAATTCCAGTCCTGATATTGTTGTTGCACAAACTTTGAATACCATTTTAGCAAATATCAAGAGGAGCCTCCAGCTAAACAATCTGGACACTTCAGAGATCATGAATGAAATCACAATGGTGGAACAACTCATATTGTTGGCAACCAGCATGGAACCATTTACCACATTTAATGCTACATTGTTCAATGAGCCACTAAATGCCCAGAAAGTTTCACTGGAGCTTGTRGAGTGGTACTTGGAAAGACTGGAAAATATCACAAACAACAGTTCGGTCTCAGAGCTCCTTCATCCCCTTTTCTACCTCACACAAATGCAAGTGACATTCCAACTGGCTCAGACAGAATTCTCTTTGTTTATCAGTAACAAAACTGAGTATCTGATGAACACACTCCAGTACCCRTTAGATGAGGCAGGTATGAACACAATCGTAAAGACAACAAATGAGATCCTTCAGCATCTAATGGACTACCTCAATGCAACCATAGAGTTGCAGAGTAACTCTTCATGTTTTAACTCGCTGTTCAACACAAGTGATCTATATTCCACTGAACTCCAAATCAAACACTACCTCCAACTTATAGAACAGTGGATAGACCAGCCTAATATCCAAATGCTCCTAACAAATTTGTTCCAATGGGGAAACTCCTCCACATCYTTATTCAGCGTAGTGACAGACCTTCACAACATGCTGAATATGACGGCTAGTTTTCTCACTGAAGAACAAAAATCCTACCTCTTCATGGTAGCCAGTATCACCCAGTCTCTCAGTGAAGTCATAACAGTGGCAGAGCAACCTGGTGGCCTACAGAGTGAACACTTTGTAGCTTCTCTGATAGGAGCAGTCCACAGTGCACTGATCCCCAACCCATATTGGGCTGACCTGTCGCCCAATCTAAAGCAGGACTGTCTGGAAACTGTGCAATATTCACTGACCCTCCTTGTTAGACAAAACCTAAATTCTGGCCAAACACGTAATGCCACCTTACTCATCTTGGAGGGAGTTGAGAGGATTATTCAACAAACAACACCAACATGGATTGCTCAATATCTTCTTTCTGTCGCTAAATTAATCAGTACTTACTTTGAGAGCACTGACGGCAGTGAACCAGACCAGTGGGATCAAATGTGAGTAATCATTCTATTTTTGCTAATCTTTCATTGAATACATTTATTACAATACTAGCTTTGCAGTTAACATATTTGAAAAGCATTAAGTACATATATTCCTCATTGTATTTTTGTAGCRTTTTTAGCTCCACAAAGCTTCATTTTACCACATAGTTTTGTGTTATAAGATTCTTAGTATTGCTTTATTTACCTTCTAATGTATGCATTAAAAATAACATAAGTAGATTGTAGCATATACAACTTATAAATTAGAGTTAGGCCATGTTGTGCAATTCCTATAGAATTGTACATGGAGATTTTTGATATTTTTATGTACTGCACAATACATATTCATTTTAATACTTATTTTTCTATATTTATAGAAAATTTGATGTCTTTTTTTTCTTAAGGGTTTCAAAAAGCACATTTGTTCTGTTTAATTTAAACCAAATAGAGGGACCAAATATGATCAGATGCCTTTTTGCATTGGTGATAAAGCATGATAACCTTTTGACACTGATGTGCTTTGTTTTTCAAGAATTTTGAATGAGATGAAGACAATCCAGAGCCTCCTGCCACCAAACAGTACTGCTGAATCATTCATTGGTACATTCATTAACTTGGGTGAATTCATTTTGCAGTTTGTCCAAGGCAAGTCAAATTCTCACTGAAGCAAATATACTGTAGTTTTGTTAGGTTTAGGTTTGGTTTTGTTATTGTGTTAGGTGTATGGTTGTGTTTGCATGTTTGTTATTGGTGTTTGAATTCCTGTTCTAAAACATATGACATGTTTACAGACAACATGACACTCCAAGGTTTTGAAGGAACATCCGAACAGCTGAGCTCAGAAGTTATTGGCCAGGTAAACCTTATACACAGCTAAAAACATGTAAAATATACAGTATATATAATAATAATATATAGTGCCTCAAATCCTACATCAGTGTCCGTTTGACTCCATTTAATTGTTTCCTTTTTTTTTTTGTAACAACAGCTGGGCAGATTTTTGATCAGATCTTTCCAACTTTTAATGGGTGGCACCAGCTCCGGTAGTGATCTTACTTATCTTGCTCCAGTTTTGGAGCAGGTGATGAATGGGAGCGCAAACCAAGAAACATGGGATCAGTAAGTTRAATTATCACTTATAGTGTAAAAAAATCAAACAAGCTTTTGCAGTTTATTAAAAGCATTTCTTACTAAATATAGGTTATACTATTCCAAATAAATACTACTGTTTATTTCTGTCATTGCCTTAAACTGAATGTAATGTTTTGTTCCAGCTTTGAACAGATTCTGGTAGACCTACTGTCTTCTCTTGAAGGACAAGAAGAATGGAACTGCACCTCATCTGTTTTGCCTCAGTTTGAAAAAGTCACAGAAAACATAGTGAAGAACATGCAAGCACAGAATGGTGAGAACACAAAAAACAACAGCAGAAGTGTTGTCTCTRCCAGCAACTCTGTTCAATAAACCAGAAACATCAAATTTGCATAGCTAAAAAGATTAAGATACAYAGGAGTGCATGTCATCATTTGAAAGAAAGCACAGTCCTAACCCAAGGCCTTTTTGTKCATTATTTACAAAGTAGTAGCAACTTAATCTATTCTGGCAATTTTCATTAAATTAAAGTTTGCAGATTTTGCATGATTTTGCTGGAGGACAAACAACTAAAAAAAAAATCAACAATCATTTAAACTAACAAGAGAAGGAAAATGTAGAAATTGTTGCACAATGTGTTATTTTTGTGTTCTGATTTATATGTTAAATTGTGCATGCAAGAAAACTTAATGAATTGACATTTAAGCTTACACTCAATTAAAATACAGCTCTGGAAAAAAAACTAAGAGACCACTTTAAAATGATCAGTTTCTATGATTTTACTCTTTATAGAAAATTAAAACTGTTATCATATTCTATGAACTACAGACAACACGTCTCTGAAATTCCAAACAAAAATGTAGTGTTTGCAGAAAATGAGAAATGGTCAAAATGACAACAATGATGCAGTGCTTTCAGACCTCAAATAATGCATAGAAATATTCATTTAGAAACAACAAAACTAATGTTTTAACTCAGGAAGAGCTCAGAAATCAACATTTGGTGGAATGCTTTCAACCAAATATCTATCTATCTATCTATCTATCTATCTATCTATCTATCTATCTATCT